GTTTTCCGAATGAAAAGAGCCCATCTTATCTCAACCAGTGTAGGTGTTCTTTGTAGGTAGGTTGCTTTGGGAAGAACGCATAGGCTGGCTGTCTTAGCAAACACAGCCAACACCACAGCTTACTTGGAAGCTGTCGGTGTACTTGAAATGAGCCTATCCCTGGGAAACGTTGTGGCCTAATTTCTTCCTTTGCTCTTGGGATGTCAGAATAAGCTAAGACTGTGCTTGGGTTCTGAAGAAAGGAAGTCTTGGCATCTACAAAAAATGGTTTGGTCCTCAGAAGACCTTAATTTACCAGATCCATGACTCTGGCGGGGGTGGGGGGGTGGGGGAGGGAGCTCTGAAACAATGCCACCCCAAAGGAAGCAAAGGGGTGTGGCAACCGTGTTGGTTCATCATTTCTCTGATTTCAGGGCCCAGGAAGGCTGAACTGGATGGAAAACTAAGGACAGTTCTTGTCAATACAAGGCCCCATCTATTACATCCACGGCCTCTTGGAAATGTCCCCCGGCAAGGCTGCCATCGGCACTTGACTAAAAACACATGGACAGAATCCACTCAGAGCAGGGATTCATTATTGGGAATAGTAAGGGAAAGTTTTTTATCCCCCCCCCGCCCCGCCCCCTTGCAGGGAGAGCTGCTTTCTGGAAGTCACAGGGCTTAGAGGGAATCTGAATCATGTCTGGTGAGAGGGGAGGAATGGAGGCACTTTTCCAGAAGCCTTTTCACACAAAGTAAGATTGTCCCAGGCAGCTCAGAGTGTCAGGCAGAGCAGGCAGACACCCCTTTTAACCCACTCTTCTCTCCCTGAGCTATTAGTAGCTAAAAGCCTGGAGAGAAGAGTCCTGAGTTAATTGGTCCCCTCTGGTTAAGCCTCTTTGTCCAAAGCGGTCTCCCCCCCCCCCCCCAGCGCTGCTCTACAGAGATCGCTGATATGTGCCACTCAGCCCAAGGGGAGGGGAAAGCCATGCCAGTATACTGAGGCAGACGGTGGTGCCCTCACTAGTATGGCGTCTCTTGGGGGAAGTTTGTCCCTTCCTGCTCCCTTCGGGCGAGGACACATGAGTATGAAGTCTGGGAGAAGAGGGACGTTTAAGTTCTTGGAGGGAGAACTTAATTGTCAGTGCTTGATCTCTCTCTCTCTCTCTCTCTCTCTCTCTCTCTCTCTCTCTCTCTGTGTGTGTGTGTGTGTGTGTGTGTGTGTGTGTTTAGGATGAGAGATTGAGAGATTGGAGGATTCCCTGGAGTGGGAGATACAGATGAGTATGGGCTGCCTGCTGTGGGTCCTGGGATCTGAACTTGCATCCCTTTGGGAGATCAGCAAGAGCCCTTAGTCACTAAGCCATTTTCTTGGCCTCTTGATTACTTTTTAAATTCCTGTCCCCCACCAAAGTAGCATGTGGACAGGCAGATTGACACTGAAGCGCAACATGGGAATCGCCACACGGATAGGAGCATGTGCCCAGTCTCTCGGGCTCGCACAGAATTAAGTCACTGCTATTTGAGCAGCAGAGCCAAATCGCTCATGATTTATACTTGGTGGTTTGTTGACTTCCTTTCCTCCCAGGTCTGTATGGGGTGCTAGAAAAGATGTATATCATTTGATCTCTGTCTTCAGCAGAATCCAGCATATTCGGCTGAGAATTACAATGGGTCCTTCCTTCTATCTATCTGAAAAGAGACCTCCAGTACTGAAGTGTGAACTCTTTAGAGAAGGTGGGCCTTCCATAGCTACGGGACCAAAGTGACATCCACGAGATGGAAACCAAGCCCATAGTCATCAACATACCCAGGTGGTGCTAATACCCAAGATCAGTCCTCAGAATCAGATACTTCGTCCTTGTTTCTTTCCTTCCCTTCTCCCCTACTTCTAGAATTATCTTTGAGCAATCTGAGGTTTTGACAGACAAACTTTAGCAACCCTGACTAAGTGAGACTTGGTTTTGCCTATAGCACACAATTCAAAAGACAGTGTGCATAGTGTTCAGCATTTCTGGGTCAATCCAGACCTTCTGAATCTTCCCCAGGACTGAAGTACCTCAACAGGACAGACAAAAGTACCATCTACCATATGTATGTATGTATGTATGTATGTATGTATGTATGTATGTATGTATGTATCAGAATGACACCAACAGTAAAAGTAACACTAATTTGAGACACCTTGCTAGCACATCCTGGGTAGCAGCAGCCTGGCAGGTTCCCAGCTGTGCCTTCTCTCCCATGCATCTTTCCTGCATGTGTCTCCTGGTATTTGAACAGTGATGGGCATGAAGAAGGCAATGGTGACACACTTCTGTTATCTTCCTCAGCCCCAGGCCTAGGCTCGCACAGCCACTACTCAGCGCACAGTGTCCAACCGGCAGTGTTTCTTCTGCGATTGTGTGGAAAATGATCCCTGGTTTTTAAAGACTCCTGTGCATAGCATCGGCTGAGTACTTTAGTGAAGTGTGCAGGAATAAGAGGCTACAGTAGCTGTGAACAGAAATACACCACAGGCAAAGGGCTTGGGTTCAAATCCCCACCCCATCTTTCCACCAAGAGGTTGATGTCTCTTGCCTCTGCCCTGTTAGTACCGAAAGAACTCAGTGACAACTAGCCTCACCAGACTGCAAAAGGGATCACTGTCACTAAGTGTGAGCAGAGTGTCACACTCCATGCAGTGCTTGGTGTGTGCTGTCACAGTGCCCAGGCCTGTCTCAGCAGCATGTGGCAGAAGGTCTGGGACTGTGTGGGTATAGAGTTTTCAAATCCTTCCTGGGTCAAAACCAAAAATCAAACAAACAAACAAACAAAGCCAGCTGGATTCTCCAGGACGAAGCCACCTAGTCAGCTGTTCCCATTTCGGGTCAGGGGACGGCTTTCTTTTGTAATGTCTTCTCAGGGACTTTTGGGTGATCCATTTGAGTGTGGAGTGCTTCACACTTGTCTTTTAGTTTAGTCAAAGTGGAGAGAGACCTAAGTAAGAGCGGTAGAGAATAAGCAACATTTTTCCTACAGTGGAAAAGAAAAAAAAAAAAAAAAAAAAAAAAAAAACCAAAAAACTCTTTTCTTCACTTACCACAAGGTTCGTGGCTAACACTACTTTACAAAAGCACAGGCGGACATGAGAAAAGTTTATACATTTACTTACTCTTCTCTCCTTTCAAACTATTAAGTGATGCAGAATCCAAAATAATATATATGAATGTGTGTGTGTGTGTGTGTGTAAACATTGGAGGAAATGTGTCCTCAAAAGAGAGACAAAATGATGCAATTCTTCCAGACCCATGGCCACGACCAAAGAAGGGCAAAAGGAAGGAAGAAGGGAAGACGGAGAGAGCCCCCATCACTAGGTTCATGCAGCCATATTCTTGTGGCTCTCCAGTCTGAAGATGGCTGCCTGCATATGCAAAACTGATTTACTTGGGTGCCCTGGCGAGTGGAAGTGAAGCCGAGTACTGGGGACATGAAAAGGTGCACAAGAAGAGGGGAAGAGAGGGGTCACTGGGAAGGAAGGGCCAGCATGGACAGGCAGCTCCCAGCCAGCTTCGGCCAGTCAATCCAAACACATGCTGTTGTCCTGCAAACACCAATGTGGGGAAGCAGGCAGAGAAAAGCTCTCTACCCCCTTCTCAACCAGGCACTGTGCACAGGTCTTGGGGAGCCGGCCCTGATAAGAATTCTTATGCAATTGGCCTTTGCCAGTTGTTCAAGGATCTTTATGTACAGGCTCTAGTAAAGTGTCTCAGCCTCCCTATTCTGGGCACCAGAAACTGTAGGCAAGAAAACAGTAGAACGTTTTCCTTCCCCACGGCAGGGATCATGGCAAATGACAGGTTAATGAGAGAAAAGCACACACATTTATCTAATGTTTTATATGACACAGACTCCTTAGAAACTGAGACCCAAAGAAACAGGAAGATATGTGGATTTTTTTTTTTTTTTCTTTTTTAAAGAGAGTGGGCAGAAGTCTGATTGGAAGATAAGCAGGTATGATCTAGTGGCAGTAAGCTAAGGGGCAGATCCAGCTGGCCTGTCTTCTCTTCATCTGGTGCCTCTGAGAGATAAGAGCATTCCTTTCCTCAGGGCCCAGGGAGGGTACCTCTAGGATGACGTCTTTATGACCTGTTCAAGGGAAAGCTGGCTAGGTTTTATGACCTGTTCAGGAAAAAGATAGAGAGAGAGGGGAAGGCATCAATCTTCCCTCTGTTGTTTCCTTGTATATGGGTCTAGTCTATACTAAACCTCATCACCATCTTCTCAAATACTCCTTTGTTGTCTTAAATCAGCCAATCTGTGTCATGAGAATGCATGAGAAATTTATATTTAATCATCTTGGTTGACATAAAGCATTCTATGGAAAAACCACAAGTTCTCAAAATGCCCCTCACTCAGAGAATGCACATGGCTTCAGACTGGAGCTGGTTCTTTCTTTCTGAAATGCAGGTTCTGGGGATCGAATCCAGGTCAGCAGACTTGGTGGAAAGTATCCTTACCTGCTGAGCTACTTTGCTAGCCCTGGAAAGACTAATACTTGACCTTGACAGGGCTTAAGCCCCCAAACATTGTACTGAACCAGCTCAATCTGATACTTTGCCTAGGAGCCTCAGGGCAGTGGGAACTGGTGGGCTGGGCATCCAAGGGAAAGAACTGAATTATCCCATGGGACACCAATTGATTTATTTGCTAATTGAGTGGTCCAGCTTTGGGCTAAAGAAATCACTTCATCCTTTATTAAATACTGCAAGAATCTCACTCTTTGTTCTGCAAGGCTACACACAATATACCAGTGGAATGTGAATTTATACTTACAATAGTTATGCCACTAATGACCTTCCAAACAAAACTAATACCATGCACGCTCTGCTTACAAGTTGGAGTCTAGCCTGTCACTGAGTTCTGAGGCCACCTACCTCCCTCTGACACAAGAGAGACCTCTACATCCATGCCCGCCTCCAGCTTCCCCCCGTGGTTTCATGATTTCATTTGTGAATCAGTAACTCTTTGGAGACTCCAACTCTTTTACACCTATTCTTTTTATTTGCTGGACAATACTTTATTCGGAGTGTTCCCTTCTGTAATTACAAATCTTGTTAGTCCTCCTCCTCCTCTCCCCAGGGGGACTGTGGGCTTTAATTAATTAATGTGGTTAAACCGCTTTGAGGTACACGGTTGAAAGGTACCATGTAAGTGCAAATTATTATTATGGCTGCTGACATCCCACGGTGGTAAAGCCCCTAGCCCTCCACGTCTAGAGACTGGACAAAGGCTTCTTCATCTTCACCTTCCCTTCCGGGTCTGAAGTCACAGTTACCATCTCAACAGCAATCAACCAATTAATCCTCATTATGTTGGCTTCCGGTTCCTTTTTCCCAGCAGCACCTGACTTGATCTTGTTTCATTTCACAAATCACACCCCCATCAGCTCTAGACAAAGGTCACAGGATCCCTATGGCCTTTCTTGGCCTAAAAGGAAAAAGAGAGAGAGAAGAAATGGAAAGTTAGAAAGAAAATGTTGTCATGTTATGTACTAGTGTCTCATTAGAAATCTAAATAAAGCTGTCCTGGCAGCAGCATTCCCCTCCCACAGAGTCAACCATGGCATGCCCAAGAGACACCCAGAAATGGCCCAGTCAGGGTTAGGTCCAGCAACTCTGGCTTGACCGCCAAGAGACCCAAACAAAAGGGTAAGTCTATCTGTGCTGGCTGGGGAAGGATCGTCCAAAGACACAGGAGCCCCTCTTTGGGTTTCTGTTACCCCCAAGTTTCCCCTGAGAAAGCCAGCTGCCATCTGTAGCCTCAGGAAGCCCTCACAAAGGCTGGGAGCCATGATTTAGATGTTTTATGCTACACCTAGCACACCAGAACTTTAACAAATGCCCAGGACTTCCACTATGATGATAGCCATTGAAAGCAGCTCTGTGGGGGAGACTTGGCCTCTCATAGGGATGCTGCTGACCAAAACACTCCTTACAAGGTTGTGCCTGAGGCTCTTTGTTAGAGTGGATGCGGGCAAGCCTCGGGGGGTCATGTCTTCATCTGCCTTCATTTATCCTCTCTATTGAAGGGCTCCTTCAGAACATTGGTCAGTCTCTGTGGGAAATGATTTGAAGAGCAACAAAAGAATTTGGGCCCTTTGGGGGGGGGAGCTTCAGAATTCAGTAAACATCTGGACATGGAAGGCCAGGTTCTCAAGCAGTCTAGCTGGGGAGATGTCAAAAGAGAGAAAGAGCTATGTGCGCAAGGCAAGCGCTTAGTTTTGTGGTAACATTTGTTGTCCAAAGGCACAGGCACCCCAGTAGGTAGAGGGAGGATTTTTCAAAAGCTCCTCTATTTGTCAGGTTTTGTGAGTGCAGCTCACGCTTTGTTGGCTCTCATGGCATATGTGAAGAAATGGAAGTTTCGCATGGCTAGGGAACAGCGTGTGACGGACGGTCTGATTTGGTATGGCTTATGAAAAAAACTAAGTAAGGTTGCATAAGCCTTCCTGGTAGTTGCTCAGCATTCCTGTCACCCTTGAAGTTTTTAAAGTACTTGCTAGTCAAGGTAACTTGTTGGATTCTCAGGATGAACACATTGTAATTGTCCAAAACCAGAAACCAATCAACCAACCAACCAAACAAACAAGCAAACAAAAACCCTCAAAAAACACAAAGAAAACAAACGAACAAACAAACAAACCAGAAAGAAAGAAAAGAGGGAAAGAAAAAAGGACAGGAGGGAGATTTGCATTTCATCACATGGGTGAGACTCATGACCTGAACTCTTGACTCTCAATGTTCCCTTTATTGTTGAGTCAATCCATTCAGAACACATTAGTCAGCATGATTCAACATTTGTCACTAATCAGTGTTAGTGACAGAACTAATCAGCATTCCCCAGTGTCCCCAAATCTATCCTCAAACAGCAAAAGAAATTGGCTGCTGTCAAGAGACAATGGGATGCGGTTTTTGTCAGTATTAACTATCTGAATCCAGTTCAAGTCCCCCGTGTTCTCAGGCACCTTGCCCAGTCATCCTAAGCTGGAATGAATCTCTCTCCTTATCCCTTCCAAGCCCTACTACTCAAGCCTCTGTAACAGGTGTCACTTTGTTTTTGATTAAACTTATCTAACTACATCTTCTTCTGAGCCAAAAGCGACTCCCCTGCCTCTATTTCCACTGAATCCAGAGCACGTAGCTTTGTAAACAATAGATGTTCAACTAGTGTGTTCTGAACTGAACTAACCATCATGGAGCTTAAATCATATTCCAGAAAGAACACCGAGTCCTTTTGGAGCAATTTTCAAAGAAAATTGATAACCTGCATTGATTTCACATCTATTGGTATTATCATCCTGGGCATTTTAACAAATGCAATTTATTAACTCTGCCAGTGGCTTCCAGGTTCTACAGGAGGAGCCAGCCTAACTATAGTCCAGGTCTTAGAATAAAGATTTTTCTTCTCTACCCTTATTTCAACTGACATTTTGTTCAATGTTTATAGAAAACAAAAATGTAGGCAGGAAAAAATAAATTTGGGGGGGGGGAAATGTGTGTAGCCTATGACTTCGAGCCCAAGTCCATACCCCATTGCTAGTAGAACACACACTGAAGTTCCTGCTTAAAAGAGGTTCTGTTTTGGGCTGGGATGGGGTTGGAAAGGATTTTTAAGTGCTGGTCCTTGGTAGAGTAACTGACTGCTATTGTGTATCTTATTCTTCTCCTACGGTCTCTGGAACCAAAGAGAATTTTTAATACATTCAATATGCATGCCACATTTCAAGGCTGTAACAGTCCTGGGTCTGTACTACTGCACCCATGATCTCTGTAACTGGCCTCTGAAGGGAATGTGCCCTTGAAATACCTTTCTGCAATGGTAGTAGTGCTCCTCGTTTATCTGGGTACATGAATGACCACTCAGATTAATAACATTTTCAACTTCTCTTGTCATGTGTTTCACCTACAGCTTGTCAACATCATATATGCAGAAATAAAGTGTGACGCTTCCTGGTAATTGTCTTTAAAGGAAGGGGAATGCGTTTCTTCTCATCGGTATTCTCCATCAAGCACAAATCCTGCTGCCTGGATAGAGGACATCATGCCAAGCCATTCTGGGCTGAATCAACAATGGCAATATCGGAGGAGTGATGGAGAGGTAAGCTGATAGGCTAGTTCCCTGGACAAACAGGCCAGCTCTGAGTGCATTCCTCCGCACTGTGGGGTGGGAAAGCCAGAGTTCTCAGCACTGTTTACCTAGGAGTTAGTTATACCCAGCAAAGTTACAATCCAGCTACCCTCAGGGCATTTCTCAAGGGATCATTATATCAGTATGACTGATACATCTTCTAGCTTAGAATCTCAAGATTCAATATTCGGCACTGGCCTGCAGTATGTCAACAGAGGCCCAGGAATTCTGAGAAATAAGTGGCTATAGGGCTTGCCACAGCAGGGGAGGGGGTCCAAAGGCATGAGTTTCTTAAACCTCAGACCCAGGCTGGATGCTTGGAAAGGGCTCCAGACCCACCCAGGGGGTAGCAAACACAACTCTGCTTCCTTACCTGAAGAGGAAAGTGGTGGGAGAGACTGCCATTTCTTACAGGAATTGTGTATACAGCTGCCTTTAGGGGCAGGGAGAAAATCTCATCAGCAGTCACCTAAGCAGATGCCAGGAGCACATACTCGCTGTGTGGAGGACACAAAAACTTCACTGTCTAAGGCAGGGCTGACAGGCACACCAAGTGTCTGGGAAAATCAGCAATGTCCTCGTAGCTATATACGATTGCACAGAAGATGGCTCACTATTTTCAGAGGGAGTGTAAACAGAGATCTCTTCGGAGAGGAAGTTGAAGCAAACAGTGAAGAAGACATTACACTTCTCATGCATTCCCAGAGAAGCCTCAGACCAAGAGATCTGTAAAGAGATTCTTTACTCTAAGTAATTAAAAGTTTCAAAAGAAAAAAAAAGGGGGTGGGTGGGTTGGGGGAGACTGAAGTAACGGTTCAGGAGTTAAGAGTGCTTACTGCTCTTGCAGAGGACCTAGGTTTGCTTCCTAGTACCCATCTGATCATCGCAACCAGATGAAACTCCAATCCCAAGAGATCTGCCACTCTTCTGGCTACCTCAGGCACCAGACATGCATGAAGTACACAGATACATACGCACATCAAATGAAAACAAGTAAACCTTTACAAAAATGTCCATAAACAGGGAGTTGGATGGCATGCAGTGATGGTTTTGTGAAGTGAAATAACATGAGTTATGTGTGTCACTGTAAATAAGAGAAAAGTTGGGAAGTGTAGATGACAAAGCACTTAATGAACTTCTAGAATGTGCCCCGGAAGACATCATTCCGTGTGGATTCACACCTAGACAGAAGAGCGCTCAAGAATGGCAGGGAAGGAGGTATGGCACTGTGGACGGCTTTGACCCTGTGAACAGGGGTGACATGTTGGAGGGGTTAGCATGGGGCTAGTTTTAGAGACTTGAGCTTTGTCAAATCTTAATCCCATAATTAAAAAAAATGAAAACAATGGGAATTTACAAGCCTAATTATAGGTACTACACACATGTATAAGTCATGTTTTGTGACTTCTGTAGTAAAAATGTTTTCAGGCCGAGGCCAGAAATAGAGTTGCCTACAGTGAGCACGGCCCTGACTTCTGCTCTGACAAAGAGAAAGCTCCTTGAAGCCAATGGTCAGAGGAAAATAAGTGAACAGGCAGAAGGTGGGTGCCGAAAGTCAACATGGAAGGGGGTGCCAAATAAATGTCAAAGGAGAAGAGCACAGAGCAGATGGGACTCTGCCACCAAGAGGCCTGGGGGAGCTTTGTGAGCCTGCATTGGCAGGGCAGGGGTTGGGGGCAGCGGCAGGGACACAGTGACAGGCCAGCTCTGCCTTCCTCTCTGTGACCTCTGGGAAAGGAATTAGTGTTACCTGCTCCTCTAAATCCCAGGGCTCTTGGCCCAGTGTCCCACATGAATGCTGGCCCATGCCAGGTATGTGAGATGTATTCACCATGCACACAATTCTGTACCCAGATGGAAACAGACTGAGAATTTTCTGGGTCACTTTGAGTCCAGGAGGGAGGTACACACACGCACACATACACACACACACACACACACACACACACACACACACAGAGAGAGAGAGAGAGAGAGAGAGAGAGGCAGAGGCACGCACGCACACACACACACACTCACACAGAGAGAGGCAGAGGCACACAGACACACACACACAGACACACACACACACAGAGACAGAGACAGAGAGAGAGAGAGAGAGAGAGAGAGAGAGAGAGAGAGAGGAGAAGAGACTACAGTTTCCAAATGAAGGGTAATAAGCACCCATGGCAGTATCTGGGGAAAAATAATTCTTCAATATTATCTCCCAAATGGCTTAGTACTAAGAAAATGGGATTGGAGAATGCAACCCAAGTTTGTGACAAACATACAGAGCAGATTAATGTCTTTCCCCATGAGCT